AATATTGAAATTAGGCCAATTAATAACCCTATAGTGCCCTGTAAGTATTTAAGTAAATAATTTGAAAATTATTAGGCACAAATGCATTTATGACTGCTATGTCTACCTGAAAAACTGCCACTTTATCAGTAGAAAATGCCCTTTTAAAATCTCCGATTAATACCTTTTAATCTTGAAATCTACTTTATCTGATATTACTGTAGCTACTGCAGCTTTCTTATGCTTACTGTTAGCATGCTACAGGTTGAGTATCCCTTATCTGAAATGCATGGGACCAGACGTATTTCAGATTTGTTTTTTATTTTGGAATAGCTGCATTAAATACTTACTGGTTGAACATCCCAAATCTGAAAATCCAAAACGCTCCAGTGAGCATTTCCTTTAAGCATCACATTAGCCTTAAGAACTTTCAGATTTTGGAGCATTTCAGGTTTTGAATTTTCAGATTTAGGATGCAACCTATATATCTTTTTTTGTTGTTGTTTGAGACAGAGTCTTGTTCTGTCACCTAGGCTGGAGTGCAGCCATGTGATCTTGGCTCACTGCAACCTCCACCTTCCGGGTTCAAGCAATACTCCTGCCTCCGCCTCCCAAGTAGCTGGGATTACAGGCGTGCACCACCAAACCTGGCTAATTTTTGTATTTTTAGTAGATATGGGGTTTCACCATGTTGGTCAGGCCAGTCTTGAACTCCTGACCTCATGATTTGCCCACCTAGGCCTCCCAAAGTGTTCTTTTTATTTGTAACCAATCTGTGTCTTCATATTTAAAATGTATCTCTTATAGAGAGCATGCAGGTAGGCCTGATATCGATCCCTGACTTCTAATTTGAAGACTTACTCCATTTACATTTAAGGTGCTCTGAATTTGGCCATTCTAACAGATGTATAGTGGTATCTCAGTGTTGTTAAATTTGCATTGCCCTGATGACATGATGTAGAGCATCTTGGCACATGCATATCTGTCATCTGTATATTTTCTTTGGTGAGGTATCTGTTAAGGTCTTCCTAATCAGGCTGCTCCCTTTTTTCTGAGACAGTGTCTTGCTCTGTCATCCAGGCTAGAGTGCGGTGGCATGATGATGGCTCACTGCAGCCTTGACCTCCCAGGCTCAAGCAATCCTCCCACCTCAGCCTCCTGAATATTTGGGACTACACGCATGAGCCATCATGCTTGGCTAGTTAAAAAAAAAATTTTTTTTATGGAGAGGGGTCTTTCTTACTATGTTGCTCAAGCTGGTCTTGAACTCCTGGGCTCAAGGGATCCTCCCACTCTGGCCTACCAAAGTATTGGGATTACAGATGTGAGCCACCACACCTGGTCTAAAACTGCTCCTTTTCCTATTGTTGGGTTTTAAGAGTTCTTTGTATATTTCGAGTAACACATAAAAAGTCCTTCATCAGATATGTCTTTTGCAAGGATTTTCTCTCAGGCTGTGGCTTGTTTTCTCATTCTCTTGATAAGTTATTTTTTAAGTGGTTGCTCTAGGAAATAAAATGTTCATCCTTAACTTCCCAGCCTAGAGTTAATACTATGTGATGGGGGGCCTCAAGGATGGTGCCCAACAATCCCAGCCTCTTGGTATTCATGCTTTATGGAGACCCCTGTCATACTGTAACAGGGTTGGTCTATAATGACCAACAGAATAGGGCAGAAGTCATATTCCAACATTATGAAAGATATTGAGGCTTTCAATTTTGGTCATTCTCAGATCATTCACTTTAGGGAAAGGAAGCTATTAGGTTGTGAGCAACCCTATGTGAGCCTCCTGTCCTCAGCTACATCAATGAGCTTAAGAGCAAATTCTCTAGTCCCATTCAAGCTTCCAGAAGACTGCAGCCCCAGCTGACAGCTTGACTGCAACCTCATGAATGTTTCTGAGCTACGACTACCCAGTTGCTCCTGAATTCCTCATCCTCAGAAACTACGTGATACGTAAGTGCTGATTATTTTAAGCTACTAGGTTTTAGAGTAATTTGTTATACAGCCATAGACATGTATCAGTTAACATAAAACAAAAGAATCTCACAAACAAAATAGTTCCATTTACCCTGCCCTTTTTGCAATGGTTGTCATATATATTACACCTAATACATTATAAACCTCATGAGACAGAATTGTAATTTTTGCTTTGAGAAGCCATGTAAAGTTTTTAAAAATTGGGTTGAGGGAAATAGTTCTTTGTATTTACCCACATAATTACCATTTCTGCTGCTCTTCGCTCCTTGAATATTTATGTTTCTATCTGGTACCATTTCCCTGAGCCTGAGGAATTTCCTTCAGCATTTCTCTAATGCCAATTTTCTGGTGAAGAATTCTTTTAGCTCTCATTTATCTGCAAATGTCTTAATTTCATCTTCATTTTAGGGATTTTTTCACTGGGTATAAAATTACACATTGACAGCTTCCTCCCCCCACCACTTTGAAGATGTTCCACCATCTCTGGCTCCCACAGTTTTTAATGGAAATTCAGCAATAATTTATGTCCTTGTTCTCCTATTTGTAATGTGTACTTTACCTTTGGATGATTTCAAAATTTCCTCTTTTTCTCTGGTATTCCGCAGTTTGGCTATAATGTGCCTATGTGTGATTTTCTTTTTCTTTTTTTAAATTATACTTTAAGTTCTGGGGTACATGTACAGATTCTCTATGTGTGATTTTCTTTGTATTTAAACTGTTTGGGGTTTGCTGACATTTCTGAATCTAGGGAAATTTTTAGCCATCATTTCTTTTAATGTTTTTCTGTTCCCTTCTTTCTCCTCTCATACTGGCATCCAATTGCACATACATGGGATCTCTGTACATAATTTCGCAGGCCACCAAGAGGCTGCTTACTTTTTTCCCAATCTTTTTTGTTTTCAGATTGGATAACTTTCTATTGATCTTCAAGTTCTGACAAGCTCTTCTGTCAGCAACAATCTGGTATTAAGCTTATCCACTGACTTTGAATTTTCAGATATTGTATTTTTCCATTCCAGAATTTTTTGTGTGTATAGTTTCTATTTCTCTGCTGAGATATCTTTTTGTTAATTACAAACATATTTTGCTCTCTGCCCTTGAGGATAGAAATAAGCTGCTTTAAAGTCCCTGTCTGCTAATTCTAACACCTGAGTTATCTTGAGGTTGGTATCCATTGATTGCCTTTCCTTTTGAGTTATGAGTCACATTTTCCTTTTTGTTTTTTTCATGTCTAATAGCTTAGAATTGAATTCTAGATGTGATAAATGATATATTGAGAGATTCTGAATTCTGTTTCATTCCTCTAAAGAGTACTGATTTTTCATTTTAGCAGGCAATTAATTTGTCTAAAACCAAAATACCAAATTCTGTCTCCCTTGCACTGGGCAACAGCTGAAGTCTCCATTCAGTTATTTTAGCATTAGTCGAGGTGCTTAGAGTCCATTCTGTGCGTGCATAGTCAGCCAGAGATTTCAGTAGGGTTTATATACAGAATCAGGGTGTTTTCTCTGTGGTTCTCTCTTTTCTGGGATATACTCCTTCATTTTTCAGCTGCTAGTCACCCTGATCTCAGTTTTCTCATTCCTCAAACAACAAGACTGCAAGTTCCTATCTAAACTTGAGTTACCCCACATCATAGTAACTGCAGTCTGCCCACAAGTGAAAAGCTAATCCCTTCAAATTACCACTCTTCACTTTTTGGTGCTGTAGTAGAAACAGAACTAAACCTGGGAATTTGAAAGACAGATTTTTAAATCCTACCCAGGCCACTTTATAGCTATGGATAAGTCAGTTCTCAGTGACTACTTCCTTATCTTATTGATCTGAGACAGGGTTTCACTCTGTCACTCAGGCTGGAGTGCACTGTTGTGATCTTGGCTCACTACAATCTCTGCCTCCCAAGCTCAAGTGATCCTCCCATCTCAGCCTCCCAAGTAGATGGGACTAAAAGGTGCATGCCACTACACCCAGCTGGTTTTCGTATTTTTGGTAGATATGGTGTTTTGCCATATTCTTCAGGCCAGCCTTAAACTCCTAAGCTCAAGCAATCCACCTGCCTCAGCCTCCCAAAGTGCTGGGACTACAGGTGTGAGCCATTGTGCCTGGCCTATCTTATTTAATTTTTTTCTTTTTGTTTTCACCTATTTGTCCCAGAGCACTTTCTCATCTTAAAATGAGGATAAGAACGTGTCTTCATGAAGTTAAGAGGATCAAATGAAGCTGAGCATGGTGGTTGATGCCTGTAATCCCAGTGAATGGGAGGCTGAGGCAGGAGGATTGCTTGAGCCCAGGAGTTTGAGACCAGCCTGGGCAACACAGTGAGACCCTGTCTCTATTTTTCCTTTTTAAAAAGGATCAAATGGATAATGTATAAGGAAACTGAGGCTCAAGGGGCTAGGATGTCCCATCTATTAAGTGACAGGAGTTGGATTGTTCACCCCAGGTCTGTCCATACTTTTTCTGTTATGCCCTATGGCTTCCACATTTTTGATGGCCACCCTCTCCATCTTCCCCTTCCAAGACAACTCCATGTACCCACTATGACCCAACTACCAAGTTGGGCACTAAAGGTACAGTAAGTCAAAGTCCCTGCCCTCAAGGAATTCCAAGTATCATTCCCTCCTTCTAAGTGTTGACTGTCCTTCAGCTTACACCTGCTTTTGGTTACTTTCTAATACCTTCAGGTAGTTGTTTTTTAAAATATTTTGTTCAGTTTGTAATTATCTGTATGAGAGGCTGGCCTGATACAACCTACTCTGCCATTCCCAGATGCAGAACAGCTATCCATGGATTTCTGATTTTGCTATACAGCCGCTGTGTTTTTATGTCATGACATTTGGAGAGATTTACAAACTATGCTACTGCTGTCCTCATCCTCCCATAATAATTTGCTATTTAATAATAAACACAATACTGCCTAGAATGTTTCTATTACTTTGAATCTCTGTTTCCACTACTTCTGCTCCTAAAGGACAACTATACTTGGTGAGAACTTACTTGCCAGGGAGCAAAAGTACTATTTCCCTCCTATCCAGTCATACCTGGCGTTTCCTTGGCTATTCCCTGATCTGGTAATGCTCCATGTTTCCGATGTTGCTCATACCAGTCACTCACCGTCATAGTTGCCAGACTTGGATAACCAGCTCCAAATACTCTGCAAAAATTACACTGCATTTAGAAAATGAACAAAATAAAAAAAAAAAACCAACGACACTACTAAAAAGTCTCTTCTCTTTAACAACAAAATCTGTGTCCTTTTCAGCCTTGTTCCCTATCCAATCAACTTCTAAGGAGTTGTACAAACTCATGGGAGGATATGTTTAAAAAAAGGGATCCAGAAAGGGGCATTAAAGTCAAGAGTCTTCATGAGAAGATGAATAGCCCAGGATCATCTCCCATTAAGCAATCCCAGAGGCCAATGCCCCACAGAGCAGTGAAGACACTGTGGAATGGGTAGAGTCGGTGACTCTGAAAGGTACAGAAAAGGAGGAGACTCTCCTGCCACCCTAGGGAAAAGCATCTCAAGAACTCAGAATTAAATCATAGAGAGGCAAATATGTCCTTTTGAGAGTCGTAGCTGAAGGCAGGAAGAGTGCCAATAATGTAAAAAAACAAAAAAAACAAAAAAAAAACATGAAAATTTAAAGTATACAGTTCTCTGTTCAATTATTTCCTTTTTTCTGTTTATTTGCTTGTTTACATGAGTGCCTTTTTTTTTTTTTTTTTTTGAGATGGAATCTTGCTCTGTCATCCAGGCTAGAGTGCAGTGGGGCGATCTCAGCTCACTGCAACTTCTACCTCCTAGGTTCAAACGATTCTCTTGCCTTAGCCTCCTGAGTAGCTAGGATTACAGGCACCTGCCACCACACCCAGCTCATTTTTGTATTTTTAGTAGAGATGGGGTTTTGTCAAGTTGGCCTCAGGTGATCCTGGCCTTAGGTGATCTGCCCGCCTTGGCCTCCCAAAGTGTTGGGATTACAGGTGTGAGCCACCATACCTGGCCCATGTGTGTCTATTTTTTCTTTTTCTTTTTTTTTTTTTTTACCAAGTACTAGAGCTGAAGGTCTGTATGAATGTGTGTCTATTTTTAAGCTCGAGTTTATGAAGGAAGTATCTGAGGAAGAGAGACATGGAGGAAGTTTCAGGAGAGATAATATCCCTTTGATGAAAAAACAACTTCCATAGGTGAGATTATGACTTTTCAACACCACCCAGTCTGTGGGTTACTCATGAATTGCCACCCTGACCCATAAAAGCAGAGGGTTGCAAAGCAAACCACTTTCTAGTATTACTTACTTGGCTTGGGCTGTGTTCCGAGTGAGAATGAAGGGTTTCATTGGAGGCCTCTCAAGGCGAGATGCGTTAGAAGTTGATGCCTAAAAAGGAAATTAATTATCAGGTGAATTTGCCATTTTACCCAACCTACCATTCGGGCTTTTAAGTCTTCAGGTGTTTGAAAAGTCCTGGATTCAAAATTCACTCACTTTCTATTTATCAGTTTCTAAGATATAGCAGCAGAACACTAATGGTGAAGGTTCCTTAGCTCTGAGGGGGCCTGAGTACCTTGCAAAAAAGAGAGAAAGAGAAAGTTCTCCCAGGAATCATGTCACTAGAAGTAAAAAATTACTTGGCTTTAAAATACCCCATCCAAAGGAGGAGATTCCAAAGCCCTCTTCCATGTTCCACCTAAATCCCTTGAGCTGAACTTGAAGCCCCTTTCCTCAGCCTTCAGTTAAAAAGTTGAATCACTACCACCCTTCTTCTAAAACCTCTTCCAATGTAATTATGCACTTAATTGTCGTAACTTCTACGGTGCTTTAGAAGTCAGTGTTCTTAAATGGAAGGGACAAGGACTGGTTAGTAGTTTCCATATAAAGGTATATAGAAAAGTTGCAAGGAACCTTGGCTTTCTAGGGGCATGGTGAAACAAAGGATGATTAAAGAAAAGGTACTGACTTAGTTCTAGCTTGATCACTTTCAGAGCCAGTTCCAGTACCACAAGAACAATTTAAAACAACAACACAACAATGACAACAAACAAACAAAAACCCCACAAAACCCACACACAAAGAAAGGGACAGGGCAGGACCCAGAAAAGTCCAGCCTCAAAATGCTTGAGAAGCACCAATCTAGATATGCTCCACAGGCCTTATGACCTTAGAATACTAATTGTTCGTTCTTTGCTATCTTAACATGAAGAACTAGGTTGATGGTATCCTGAGGCAAGAGCTCCTGGGCTAATTAGTACAAATCAAATTACTAAGAGGTTTCTCTGAGGACTTAAATGCCTTTGACTTGCTGATAAATTCAACCCAATTCATGTTGTGTCCTGAACCAAAGAACAAGTGGCAGCTGAGCCTATTCTTTAGCAGCAGCAGCTCCAAAACAGGGTTATGATGTTCAAAGAAAGCCAAAGCTGTTACACCAAGTTTCTTTACCGGTTTACTGGACACTCTGTGCATGGAAATGCCCTTGCTGTGTCTCCTACTTGGGTAATCTAAAGGAGTGAGCGTGCATCATTGTAGCAAGGTTAAATTCCAATTCCTCCCCCAAACTAAGCATATCCCCTTGGTCTTTTGTTTCACATTCTTCCTACTCTTTTCTCCCTCTCCTCCAGTTCTACCTTTCTTCTCCATTCCCATCCTCTTCCTCTCTTTCCCTTTATTATAGTCAGCACAATTTTTTTAAGATGGAGTCCCGTTCTGTTGCCAAGGCTGGAGTGCAGTGGCGCAATCTCAGCTCACCACAACCTCTGACTCCCAGGTTCAAGTGATTCTCCTGCCTCAGCCTCCAGTATCTGGGAATACAGATGCGCATCACCATGCCCGGCTAATTTTTGTATTTTTACTAGAGGAGGGTTTTTTCCATGTTGGCCAGGCTGGTCTCAAACTCCGTGCCTCAAGTGATCTGCCTGCCTTGGCCTCCCAAAGTGTTGGGATTACAGGCATGAGCCACCACGGCTGCCAGTCAGCACAGATTTTAAAGGTGAACTCCCTATGCCTTCCTTCAGCCACCACTTTTCACATCCAACCAGTTTTCATTTCAGAGACATTTCTGTTCACCATGGTGTACTACGAAATTACAAATGAATACAAGTGTGTTACAGATTAAAAAGCATGGGGAACACATTAAACTAAAGAGAAAGCTACCCTAGTGACCCTTCGGCCTTTCTATACTCATCTTGATAAAAATGGTGATTTTATGGAGACTTAAAAGGATCTTAATTTGATTACCCTCCTATAGAATACTCAAATCTCTGGCAGTAGCTTTCTTTGGCCAGGCTTACCTCTCTTGAAGAGCCTCTTTCTCTCAGGATCTTTATTTCCTGGTCAATGCTCTCAATCTCTTCTAAGCTGATATCAATCCACCTCTGAAGGTGAAGAAGATAATATTCACGAACACGCTCATCATCTGCTTGACCACTTTCCACAGCAGATTTCATTGTAGACAACCTATGTTCCAACTCCTTCTTCTGCTTGTATCTGTTCCACAGAAAAGTATTACCCATGAAGTTACAAATAAAGAGGCATTCCTTCAAAAGAAGGCCTCAGTAAGATTTTATCTTTGCAAATGACCACGTAGTAAGCATGCAGATTTCTGCCTTGGCAATAATACAGATTCTATACCCCAGAGTCTACCACTAGGCAGTTCCCTCAAATGACAAGTAAGGGCCCAGCAGGGGTCTTACTACATAAAAATACCGAAGTAACTGGATCTCAGCTAGTCCTTTAGGGACGATGAGTACCTTAGTCATTTGATTATATTGATCTTTACTAGGGTGGGTGCTTAGTATCAAAACACAGTGCTTTCTATGATGCTTCCCTTTTGAGAATTACACCTTCAAAAAGTCACAGAATCTTAGGGGTCATTTACCTGCCACTTATGCAGGAATGCCTCGTGAAACAGCCTAAAAAATGGTCAACTCTTTTTTCTTCTGGGCAAAACATTCCCATCTCTTCTGGCTCATCCTTATGTCATCTGAAGACTCAACCGCCCTAGCTGCCTTCTTTTTCAGGATGCATTCTAGTATGCCATCTGACAAATATCTACTGAGTGCCTATTGTGTGACAGGCACCGTTCTCAGTGCTGGAGACACAGCAATGTATAAAAGAAAGTCCTTGCCCTCATGAAGCATTCATTCTAGTGGGAGTAGACAAAAAGAAATAGACAAGTTAGATTGTGATAACTGCTATGAAAGAGCAAAAAGGTCAAGTGCATACAGTGATGGTGCAAAAGTAGTGGTGCTATTATATACAAGGTAGTCAGAAGAGACCTCTCTGAAGAGATGACAGTGAACAAGGTTTTCAAGAAAACATGCCAATATCTGGAAGAGTATGCTAAGGAGGAAGAGCAAATACAAGGGCCATGAGGTGGGAGTACACCTGGCCTGACATGGCTGAGAAATAACCAGGTGGCCAGTGTGGCCGAGATAAAGAGTGATAGAAAATGAGGTCAGACATAGCCAGGGCTATAATGTATAGAACCTGGTAGGTCACAATAACCAAAATATCAAATACCATGGTATTTTGAATGAGAAAGCCACTGGAGGCTTTTGAATAGAATACATGATGTGAATAGAGTGACATAATATGGGCTACTCTGGCTGCTATGTGGAGTATGGGCTGTGAAGGCTATGAGGCAAGGATTTAAGTAGGGAAAGCAATTAAGAGGATACTGCCACAATCCAAGTGAGAGAAGGTGACCTGAAATAGAAAGGTAGCGATGGAGACAGTGAGATGTGTGTGTATTTAAAATATAATATAGATAGGATTTGTTGATTTACTGGATGTAAGAGCTTGAAGCAAAGAGAGAAGAAAAAACATGAAGATTTGCAAGAGACGTATCTCGAAATAACTCTACTTAAAATCCCACTCTAGACTCTCCAGAATCAGATGTTCCTCTGTAGGTCTTCAACCAAATCAGTAAGTCTCAAGCTGAAGTCCACAGAGAGTTCAGGGTGGTGTGGTGGCCCTTGAACTCCCTCAAATTTTATACAGACCTCTACCTGTATGCTTTTTCTTTTTTGGCTGGGAAATTTTTATAGATTTTATCAAATTATCAAAGGGACAAGGGATCCATGACCCACAAAAAGTCAAGAATCACCTTCTGAATAGGCTATTATAAAAATTTTTGGGCTTTTCCATTCCTTTTACCTAACAAGTGGATATTTACTATAATGTTACAAATAGCTGAAACACCATCATCCTAGGTAGTTGAGTAAAACATGACAAAGAACTACAATTCCTAGTTCATGAATGCTATTACAGATATTACTTGAGAATGTTTAACTCCAGTCTCACTCTCATCCCCAACCCTCTTTCCTGGATGGACCTAAGTCATAGGAAAAAAAAAAAAAAACATACAAGGACCTTAGGATGTCTATAATTCAGGGTAAATTCGGGGTTAGTCTAGTAGTCCTCTGAATAAGGTTCTTTTGCTTCTTTTCCCATTCCCTGCATGCTTAAAGCCTAACTACTGTACTCTGCTCCTTTTCTTCTACTTCCTAGCTTCTATGACTTTGCTCATCGTCTTTTTTTGTTGTTGTTTGAGGCAGTCTTGCTCTGTCACCCAGGCTGGAGTGCAGTGGTACGATCTTGGCTCACTGCAACCTCCACTTCCTGGGTTCAAGCAATTCTCCTGCCTCAGCCTCCCGAGTAGCTGGGATTATAGGTGTGCACCACCACACCCAGCTCATTTTTGTATTTTAGTAGAGATGGGGTTTTGCCATGTTGGCCAGGCTGGTCTCGAACTATTGACCTCAGGTGATCTGCCTGCGTTAGCCTCTCTAAGTGCATTACAGGTGTGAGCCACCATGCCCAGCCTGCTCATCATCTTTCAAACTTCTACCCCAGTGTTTTTTAAACTGCTTTGTCTTAGTAAAAACATTTTCTTCTAATGAGAGATGCCATGGAACTCACATAAGTAATAAACAAGTAAAAGTATTTACCTTGGCTAAATCAGGAGGGCTGCCAACATTCCCCCTGCCCTCCCCCGACCCCAGGCATTGCAGTGAAATTTTAGGGCTCCAAGAACAGGCTGAAAACCACTGTCTTAGACCTTCATCACTGTTACATATTCCCCATCGTGGGCCATTACATGGCAACACTCCCTATTACCCTAGAATCCCCTATCTTTGAACCCTTCTGACCCTGGGCAACTTTCACCATTCCCTTTTTCTGTTCCCAAGCTGTTGAAGAGAGTTAAGGAATTAGAAACTTGTGTTAAATGGGTCTGCTACAAATCACTATTGTCAAACACTGGCTGAGTGGTCACCCTTGCTCAGTCATGCTTTTGCTAATCTTTTGTGAAGACTATTATCATCATCACACTCACCAGATGGACAGCCAATGTAGAATTCAATTTCCCTCTTCACCATAAAATCTCTGTAACTTCACTCTTCCTCTTTTACTTGTCTTTAAGGAGATGATTCTGTCTCTACCAAGGCATTTCCAAGGGAATGTCTTTGTTTTTTTTGTTGTTGTTGTTTTGGTCTTGCTTCTTTGCCCAGGCTGGAGTGCAGTGGCGTGATGACAGCCCACTTCAGCCTTGACCTCCTGGGCTCAAGTGATCCTCTTACCTCTCAGCCTCTTGAGTAACTAAGACTACAGGTGCACACCACTATGCCCAACTAATGTTTAAATTTTTTGTAGAGACGGGGGTCTCACTATGTTGCCCAGGCTGATCTCGAACTCCTAGCCTCAAATGATCCTCTTGCCTCAGCCTCCCAAAGTGCTAAGATTAAAGGCACCAGCCACTGTGCCCAACCAAAGGCAGTGTCTTTACCATTCTACTTTTGTTGTCAATCTAGTCCCTCCCACACATTCTTCCAGTCCTCACTCTTTTTATTGATCATCTTCATCATCATGAGCAGCTAGTTTTTCACTCTACTGGTGCCTTTCCCCTGTCTTAGAAACACTTTCCCTCAACTCATTTTTCAACCTTTTTGAATGATCACTCTTCTCTTTATTTTTTTTGTTTTCTGAGACAGAGTTTCGCTCTTGTTACCCAGGCTGGAGTGCAACGGCAAGATCTCGGCTCACTGCAACCTCCGCCTCCTGGGTTCAGGCAATTCTCCTGACTCAGCCTCCTGAGTAGCTGGGATTACAGGCACGCGCCACCATGCCCAGCTAATTTTTTGTATTTTTAGTAGAGACGGGGTTTCACCATGTTGACCAGGATCTTCTCTTTATTTTTGTTTATTTATTTTTGAGACAGGGTCTCTACTCTGTCACCCAGGCTGGAATACAGTGGTGCGATCACAGCTCGCTGCAGCTTCGAACTCTCAGGTTCAAGCCATCCTCCCACCTCAGCCTCCTGAGTAGCTGGGACTATAGGTGCACAGCATCACCCAGCTAATTTTTGTATTTCTTGTAAAGACAGGGTTTGGCCATGTAGCCCAGGCTGTTCTTGAACTTCTGGATTCAAACCATCTGCCTGCCTTGGCTTCATTACAGGCATGAGCCACCACACCTAGCCTACTATTCCCTTTTCTATGCTACAGTGTGAATGGTACTAGAACTGGGAATTTGAAGACCTGAGTTTAAATCCTAACCTAGCCACTTACTATTTAACCTTGAGCAATTCAATTCTCAGAGCCCATTTTATTATCTCTAAAATGGGGATAAGAATGTCTATTTCACAGGGTTGTTAAAAGGATCAAACGGAAAAACACACATGAAAGTGCTCTGTAAGGAGCTATACTGTTAGCTGATAAAGAAATTGAGGCTGGGGGGTGCTAAATGATGCCACATCTATCAAGTGGTAGAAATTGGATTAGTTACCCCAGGTCTGACTCCTAAGTCTAGGCTTTTTCCGCTACTGCATTTTGCTTCCATCTTTTTTATGACCACTCTGTCTCTCCCAAAGACACCTCCAAGTACCTACTATGATCCAACTACTGGGTGGGGCGCCAAGGGATACAATTATATACAATGATATATTTAGGATACTGAGATACAATTAGTCAAGGTCTCTGATCTTGAGGAGTTTCAAGTCTAGAGAAACAGTTTTACTGTGATAAGTAACATGAACTTAAATGCCATGGTATCTGGGAGGGAAGATAATTACAGAAAGGCTTCAAAGAGGAACTAACATTTGCTTTCTCTTTTCCACGCTCCTGTAAGTACCTGTACCTTACTGAGTTTCTTTTTTTTTTAAGACGGAGTCTTGCTCTGTCGCCCAGGCTAGAGTGCGGTGGCACGATCTCGGCTCACTGCAACCTCTGCCTCTCAGGTTCAAGCGATTTCCCTGCCTCAGCCTTTTGAGTACCTGGGATTACAGGCATCCACCACCATGCCCAGCTAATTTTTTTTGTATTTTTAGTAGAGATGGGGTTTCACCATGTTGGCCACGCTGATCTCCTGACCTCGTGATCCACCCACCTCAGCCTTTCAGAGTGCTGGGATTATAGGCGTTAGCCATCGCACCCAGCCACCTTATTGAGTTTCTGATTACTGTTTCCTTCCTCTTCCTTCTCCCTTAA